TATAGCAGTAAGACAAATACTTAAGCAGTAAAAAAGATCATTAATCAACTAAGATATGCAAAGATGGACAGCATAATTATTCAAACTAATCTAGGACTTATTTGCAGTGACATCTATAATGTACCAGAGATTAATGGATTAGGTCCCCATTTCTGGTTGTTGGCACTCATTTATACAAATATAGTAGGTGATTTTATAATATACAGATAAGAATCTGGCCACAAATGAAATATGCTTTTATTCAATTTATTATGCTAATGAAACACATATTAACAAATTGGTTTTGTTTTGTGCAAGATTTTCATTTATTTTAACTGCATATCAAGGTAAAAGGCTCATTTTCTCCTGCCCCTTTCAGTTGGACCCAAGTGAAAGGTTAATAAAAGTTAAGGTTAAATTTAAATCTCTCATATACTTATTTATAAAGTCTATAGATGGTACACTGTGAATTTTGATTTTTTTTACCAAAATAGCTACATCCTTGGAATTGTAAGTTTTCCACAGGGCTTTTATGGGAAATTTATCATTATGGTCTATCACAGTTGGATCTTGCACATCTCATCAGTTTCTCTCTCTCTCTCTCTCTCTCTCTCTCTCTCTCTCTCTTAAATATAAATTTATTTATTTTTAGTTTTCAACATTTACTTCCACAAGATTTTGAGTTCCAAATTTTCACCCCATGTCACCCTTCTCCCCACCCCACGATGGCATGCATTCTGAATGCCCCTTCCCCTAATCTGTGCTGTCTTCTATCTCTCCCCCCCTTCTCTTATCCCCTTCCCTTTCTGTTTTCCTGTAGGGAAGGATAGATTTCTGTACCCCATTTCCTGTATTTCTTATTTCCCAGTTGCATGTAAAAACTTTTTTTTAACATGTGTTTTTAAAAATTTGGCCAAATTTTCTCCCTCCTTCCCCATCCACTCTCATTGAAAAGGCAAGCAACTCAATATAGGTTATACATGTGCAGTTATGCAAAACACTTCCATAGTAGACATGTTGTGAAATATTAACTCTTATTTCCCTTAATCCTGTCCTGCCCCCCCCATTTATTCTGTTCTTTCTTTTGACCCTGTCCCTCCTCAGAAGTATTTGCTTCTGATTATGCCCTTTCCCAATCTGCCCTCCTCTCTGTCATCCCCCTGCTGTCTTGTTCCCTTCCCCCCCATTTCCCTGTAGGGTAAGACAGATTTTCATACCCCATTGAATGTGTGTATATGTTATTCCCTCCCTAAGCCAAATCCTATGAGAATAAGATTCACTCATTCCCTCTCACCTTCCTCCCCTTTCCCTCCACTGTAAGAGCCTTTTCTTTTCTGTTTTTTTGTGAGATAATTTACCCCATTCTACCTCTCCCTCTCCTCCTCCTCCTCTCTCTCTCATCCCTTAATTTTATTCTCCAGATATCACCCCTTCATCTTCAACTCACCCTGTGCCTTCTATCTTTCTATCTATCTATACATACATATAATTTTTTCCCTCCAACTACCCTAATACTGATAAAGGTGTCATGAGTTATAAATATCTTTTCATGCAGGAATATTAAACAGTTCAACCTTAATAAGTCTCTTATGATTTCTCTTTCCTGTTTACCTCTTCATTTTCCACTTGAGTCTTGTATTTGAAAGTCAAATTTTCTATTCAGCTCTGGTCTTCATCAAAAATGCTTGAAAGTCCTCTATTTCACTGAATTACCATTTTTTCCCCTGAAGGATTATACTCAGTTTTGCTGGGTGGGTGATTCTTGGTTGTAATCCTGTCTCCTTTGCCCTCTGGAATATTATATTCCATGCCCTGCGGTCCTTTAATGTAGAAGCTGCTAAATCTTGTGTTATCCTGATTGTGTTTCCACAAAACTTCCTTTCCCATTTTTTTCCCTAGTGTATTTCATCCTCCCTTCCATTCCTTTCTTTTTTTAAAAAATGTAACCAAGTCACTTCAATGCCCTCTGTCTTATTCAATTCCCTCTGATCCCTCTGTGATACTGGGTTTCTGGGAGGATACTTATTTCCTCCATTAGAATGCATATGTTTCATCCTTTTTTAGCCCTTCTGATTCTCCTATGTTTGTATTTTGAAGTTTCTGCTTAGCTCTGTTCTTTTTACCAGTAATGTTTATAAGTCCTCTCTTCCGTTAAAGTTCTATTTTTTTTCCCCTGTAGGTTTATATTCAGTTTTACTGGATAAATCATTCTCTGTCTTAAGCATATATCTTTTGCTTTTTAGAATATCACGTTCCAAGTTCTTTTTCTTTTTAGTGGTAGCTATTAAATCTTGTATGATCTTGACTGTAGCCCTTTAGTAATTCTTTCATTCCAGTTGCTTGTAGAATTTTTTCTTTGCCTTGAAAGCTCTGGATTTTGGCTGTAATGTTCTTGGGAGTTTTCATTTTGAAGTTTCTTTCAGGAAATTATCAGTGGATTCTTTCTATTTTCTGTTTGCTCCCTTGGTCTAAGAATCTGAGTGGCATATGACTGTGCTGGAGTATTATTGTGCTATAAAAAATGACTGAGGAGGGGGTGTCAGGGAAATATGGGAAGACCTATATGAACTGATGTAAAGTGAAGTGAAAAGAACTGGGAGGTCATTGTGCACATTAAATGGCAATGTTGTAATGATGATTAACTGTGAAATACTTGGCTACTGTGATCAATACAGTGATCCAAGACAATTCCAAAGGACTCATGGTGAAAAAATGCTGTCTACCTCCAGAGAGAGAAATGATGAACTCTGAGTACAAATTATGCTTTTTTTTTTGGAAATATGACTGATACAGAAATGTTTTGCATGATTTCATATGTATAATTGATAAATTGCTTGCCTTCCCAGTAGGTGGAGGGAGAGAATTTAGAACTCAAAATTTAAAAAGAAAAGAATGTTAAAAATAAATAATAGATTAAGAATAAGACCAAGAGGGACTAAAAACCCAATGATGGGGAAGAGTAGGTTTAGGAGAAGTTAGTTACAGAAAAAGATAGAATAAGAAGAGGTTATGGTCCAACCAGAGAATATCAGAGTTTGTAATCAAGTGTAACATTTATGGGTAATGTTGAGCTTGGACAGCTCAGGCTGGCCATACCTGTAAGCTTTCAGTGCACCCAAAGCTATCTAATCACTGCTCTCTGGGTTTGAGTTTTGCAAACTCCTGACTTGAATTTGGGTCTGGGTAACAGCAGTATAGACTTGCTCTTGGTTGGATTTTCATTTGATTATTGCTGGCCCCAAATACCATCCGCTAGCTGGATGTCTCTGCAAGTTTAAAACGACAGAATTGTAGGCTCTCTTGGATCCTGAGCTCCTGACCTGTTTATTTATTTGTAGTCTTCAGACTGGGTTGAGGGCTGGATCTAAAATCCAAGGGTCAGAGCCATACAGTGACTGCTTAATATGTTTCTGCTCCTTGCCCAGTACACAGTTTTAGACTCCCAAACATTCTCTTCCTTGGACTTCCAGGGTGTCAAGTTCCTTCCCAAGTCCATGCTGGATCTATAATTCAGCTCTAGGGTTTGACAGGCATGCCATTTGACCCTGCACAGCTACAGACTCTTCTCTACTAAATCTCAAACCTCTTACTGCCCTAGTGTACATATCCCCAAGCCCCAACTCAGTGTCTAATGGAAGATTCTTTTCTCTGTCTTCCTGGCTAGACCCTGTCTCCAGCATCCTAAGACTTCTATTGAACTGGTCCAGAAAAAAGACTCTCTGAATTTTCCTTGTAATTACATGATCAGGACTTGGTTTGGTGTGTTTGCTAGATCTTTGTGGAATAGTTTATAGGGGATTTGGGCTATATTGCACCTTTTTCCTTAACTATTATGTTTGGTCTCAAGACTCAGTTCTAATCTCACCTTCTGCAAGAGGTCTTTCCTGGTCCCCTCAGCTTCTAGAGCCTTCTCTTCTAATATTTCCTTCTTGTACAGACCTAGTTATTCATATGTTGTCACACCATTAGAATGGAAGCTCCTTGAAAGCAGGCATTGTTTACCCTTTAAATTTAGGGAATTCTGAGAATGCCAGATATCCCTACTCAAATAAGTACAAAAACATTTCTCAATTTAGTCCATTGATAGTAAGTGTTTATTGCACTTGTGTGCCAGGCAGTTTGCCAGGTCTTGGGGATAGGCAGTAGTCAAACAGTTGCTGCTCTTAAGGAGCTTACATTGTGTTCCTTAAACCACATAATTGCATATCACCAAAGAAAGGTAATTTCTGAGGTCTCTAGCAGTTTGAGGGGGAGTTCAGGAGAAGACTCGAAAATGTGGTGAGTTTTTTTTTAACTTTTGCTTTGAATTAAACAAAACTTTATTTTATTTATGCAAATAATAAGTTTATAGAACCTCCAAGAGTACTTGAGTGCATTCTTGTCTTTGTACCTCCAGCACCTAGCACAGTTGGCATAAGCACTAATAAATACTTGTTAGTTAGAATGTAACTGAAATGGCAGGGCTGGAAAAATGAAAGTAGAAAGAAAAATCTGTAAAATTGTATATGTTCCATATATATGTATATACAAATGGAAATACTTTATTTTATTGCTTAAAACTGATTTGAGACTCTAAAAGTGGTATTTGTTGAAACTTTTTATTTCGCTTAAATCATAAACATATTCCTTATTTTATTATCTGACTTCAATTAAGATTGCTCTTGAGGCAAATATTAAATATAGATACCATACTTTTTTTTTTTAAATCTTTTTTCCTTGTGTCATTGAAACATTTTTTCATCGTGACAAAGTAGCCAGAATCCTGGGTTGGAGGTAAGGAAGATTAGGTTCAAATTGTCTGACTATAGGCTGCTTCAAGTGGAAGTTGCCTGACCACGCTTCCATTGGAGAAAATCACGGATCCTTTGTTTATTTTGATCAAACTAACTTTTGTTTCATTGATTTGTATCTGTAGTAATGTTAATCAAATCATTGGTTAAAGCTTTTTGGCTTACCTAAGTTTTATCTGTTTGTGGTATTGGGACATGTTATCTTTAGTCTCTACTTTTAATATTCTCTAGTTTAAACTATGGAGGAGGACATTCATCACAATCTGAAACGGATCTTCTTCACAGACAGAATTATGGCACCTCTCATCAGCTTCCTGGATATGCTGCCACCCATCATTCCACCGGTAACAGTTCTGTTGTCAAGTCTGTCATGACTCCGCACAGTTTTCAGAAGAGGAGTGGGAGTGCTGCACATATTTTAGTTGTGAATGTGGATAGAAAGAGAGCCATACTGAAAGGAAACTCAGATAAATATAAGAATGAAAACTTTCTATCATACTAATGGATTAATAAAGATAAATATTAGATTTAAAATTTTGCATAATATTTAGAGAAATGAAACTGTAGTTTTTTTGTGTGTCTTTGAGACCTATCTTGATTAGGCTGGAAGTACAGTAGCTCCTCCCAAGCCTGATCTCACTCCTGATCAGCACAGAAGTTTTGACCTGCAAAATGTCTGATGTGGGCAGATTTACTCCTTAGGCAGCCTGTTGCCTCCTGTGCACTCATCATCTTGGTGCTGGATTTAACAATAGGCTTTAGCCCTGCTGCAGTTCAGAATGCATAAGCTCAGGTCATATATTGACCTGAGCTTCTTCCTCTAAACAGGGATTACAGGTGGGCGCCACAAAGCCCTAAGAGATTAGAATTTTTAAAGTAAATTTTAATTTAATTGAAACAGCATTATTGGGGAAGAATTTTCTTTATTTCAAATTAATTGTAAACTGCCGGAACTTGTTTTTGTAAATGTAGGTGGAAACAATATGTATATTTATTTTTGTAATATATTTTATTTTAACATGTAGGTCTTTCTGGAATATTTGATACTAATATGAACAGTGCTGGCACTAATGCTAAAGAATCTTCAGTAATGAATTTTCTATCTGCTATTGAATCCCGAACTGCTCCAGCTACTTCTTCAGGAACTACTCTTTTACCGCAATTCAGGGCTCCATCATGGCAGACAGGTAATATTTTCTGAATTTTTAAGCTTGTCAGCAAACTAGTAATTCGTGATCCAGCATAGATTTTAAAATAATTTGTACACAAGATTTTTCTCTATGATGAAAACAAAAATTTGGTATGGCCCTTTAAAAATAGCATGAGGACTAGCTGTAACAGATCTCAAACTTTAATGTAAACCAGCGATTATCAAAACTATCTGTTACTAGCTAAGAAATAGAGTGGTGGATCAGTGGAATAGATTAGGTACACAAGACACAGTAGTAAATGACCACAGTAATGTAGTGTTTGATAAACCTGAAGGACCCTAGCTTCTGGAACGAGAATTCACTATTTGACAAAAACTGCTGGGAAAACTGGAAAACAGTATGGCAGAAATGATGTATAGACCAACATTATACATTGTGTATCAAGATAAGGTCAGAATGGGTACATGATTTAAATATAAAGGGTGATGCCATAAGCAAATTAGGAGAGCATGGAATAGTTTACCTGACTAATCTATGGAGAAGGAAAGAATTTATGACCAAATAAGAGATAGACAGCATTATGAGGTATAAAGTGGAGTAATTTTGATTATGTTAAATTAAAAAGGTTTTATATAAACAAAACTAATGCAACTCAGATTAGAAGGAAAGCAGAAAGCTAGAGAAAAATTTTTACGGCAGATGTCTCTGATAAAGGCCTCATTCTCAAATACACAGGGAACTGAGTCAAATTTATAAGAATACTAGTCTTCCCCAATTGATAAATGGTCAAAGGGTATGAACATGCAGTTTTCAGATTAAGAAATAAAAGCTGTTTATAGTCATATGAAAAAAAATGCACTATGATAAGAGAAATGCAATTAAAACAACTCTGAGGTACCACCTCACACGTATCAGATTGGCCAGTATGACAGAAAAGGAAAATGATAAATGTTGGAGGTGATGTGGGAAAATTGAGATGCTGATGCACAGCTGATAGAGTTGTGAACTGATCCAACCATTCTGGAGAACAATTTGGAACTAAGCCCAAAGGCAAATCAAACTGTGCATACCCTTTGGTCCAGCAATACCACTACTTGGTCTATATCCCAAAGAGATCAAAATAAAGGGAAAAGGACCTACTTGTACAAAAATATTTATAGCAGCTCTTTTTGTGGTGGCAAAGAATTAGAAATTGAGGGGATGCTCATCAATTGGGGAATGGCTGAACAAGTTGTGGTATATAAATGTAATGGAATACTGTTAACGCTATACAAAATTACTAGCAGACATTTCAGAAAAATCTTGAAAGACTTACATGAACTGATGATGCAAAGTGAAGTGAGCAAAGCCAGAAAAACATTGTCCACAATAACAGCAGTGTTGTACAATGATCAGTTATGAATGACTTAGCTCTTCTTAGCAATATAGTGATCCAAAGGACTCATGGGGGAAAATGCTATCATATCCAGAGAAAGAACTGATGGAGTCTGAATGCAGATAGAAACATACTATTTTCACTTTCTTCATTTTTTTCATAGTTTTCTTATGGTCTGTTTCTTCTTTCACAACATAACTGATATGGAAATACGTTTTACATGATTGCGTATATATAACCTATATCAAATTACCATCTTGGGGAGGAAAGAGCTCAGGAAGGTAGGGAGAAAATAATGGAACTCAAAATTTAGAAAAGTTAAAATTTGTCTTTACATGTAACTAGAAAAAATACCTTATTTTTAAAAAATAATGTCAGGAGTGCTAGAGTAAGGATATTACGTGAGGCTAGAGAGAAGAGCTCATCATGGCAATAGCACTTTGGGCTATATCAGTGAAAAAGATCAGAGAAGGAATAGGGCCACTGTGAAGGCCGTATGGCATGATAACAGAAGGCAAGAGGCACAGCCACTCCTTGCTTCTGTTCTTTCTTCTGAGGAGAAAATAGTATTTGGATTAGAAAGTCCCGAAGAAAAGTAGCTTATAGAGAACTGAAATCCAAGGTAAGGAGATGGTACCCAGTTGCTGTTTGTGAATTCAAGTCATCTGGTTCAAATGAAGTACCTCCATTCTAAGGTATTGAAAGTACTGGTAGATAAGATTGCCGAAACACTGTTGTTATATTTGAAAGAAGGTGAAGAATAGTAGAGATATCAAATGATTAGAGAAGGGAATAGGACTCAACTTTGAAAAGCACTTGAGTATGGTCTTCAAATTATGGGCTAGTGAGCTTGACTTTAATTCCTGAAAAAACTCTCTAATGTGTCATTAGGAAAACAGTGAGGATCTAGGAAAGGAAGTAGTGATCACAAATAGCCAGTATGGCTTCATCAACGATAGGTCATGTCAAATCAACTTCATTTTGTTTTTCTTAGAATTACTATAGTGGAGGGTCAGATATGTTTTCCTCCCATCCTGGTACTACCATAGTTGTAGAGAGGGTTCCTTTCATGTGTAGATTGAACTAGATGGCTGATGAGGTCCTTTCCAGTTCTCAGGTCATATAATTTCCATAGGATGACAGATTTAGAGCTGGACGGACCTATAGAGGTCATTTTACAAATGAGGAAACCAAGGCCATGAGAAGTCGCCCAGCCTCACACTAGCAGTAAATAGCAAAGCCAGGGCTTTGAACCCAGTCCTCTTGACCCAAAATCAGAGCTAAAGTTCAATATTAGTCCTCATGTGATACAGTACTCAAAATAAGAATATAATTTTAGACTGTCAAGAGGTAGTGTGTTATTGTGGAAAGAACACTGGATTTGGAGACAGAGGAGCTGAGTTCAGATGTCAGCTATGCCACACTTACTACCTGTATACCATACTTCCCTTCATCTCTGTGGGCCTCACTTTCCTCATTTGTAAAATCCTCATCTGTAAAATGAGCAGGCTGGCCTAGGTGAGCCTGTGAGGAAGGTGACAGTCTTGTTATAGTCTGCTTTGTTTTGACCTCAGATAGTATTGTCATCAGTTCTGGGTACCACATGGTAGAAATGACATTAATGAAGCTAATGTGTATCCAGAGGGAGGCAGTAGAATGATGAATAGTCGGGAAGTTAGGGCATGTGAGAAAGAGTTTACAGAGTTAGGGATATTTAGCCTGGAGAAAAGAAGGCTTAAGGGGAGGAGGATAATAACTGTCTTCAAGTACTTGTGGGGCGTCATGAGGAAAAGTGATTAGGTTTATTCTACACCATCATTGTAGAGGTAGAAGAATTGTTCATCTAGTCTAATTACCTCATTTTAAAGATGAAGAAACTGAGGCCTGAGAAGGTTAAATGATATACCTTGCATCATACAGGTAGTGATGCATGGCAGAAATGAGATTTGTACCCTGGTTCTTTGATTCCAAATCCAGTATCCTTAGTAGGGGACATGCTGGCTACTCAGAGTTATAGAAAGGGAGATTTAGGTTTGATGTAAGAAAAAAATCTTCCTAATAACTTTTTAAAGGAAATAGTTCAGGTATGGATTGAATTAAAATGGTCTCTGTGGTCCCTTCTAATGCTGAGATTTGTTGACTCAGAATTAAACTTAGCCTCAGGCTTAATGGGCTCCACCTGGAGTCAGTGAGTTCTCTCTTCATTAAGTATCTTTGAAAAAAGGTTGAATGACCACTTATCACATGTGTGGCAGAGGGAATTATTGTTCTCGAAGGGATTTCATAGAAAATGTGCCTTGAAAATATGTAGATTATTAATACCTTAAAAACCTATAGAACCTAGAATTTCTTATAGGCAGCATTTAAATGTTTGTGTCATTTAATTTAAAAGCTTAAATATTTTTGGCAGTGGTGAAGTGTGACAAGTTTAAAATTATAGGTTTTCATGTATGTGTATACATATATGTGTGGGTGTGTGTATATATGTATATGTATATATATGTATATATCTGTGATATCTGTCTATCTATCCATCTATCTCCCCTTTTAGTAGTGTTTGGTTCTAGCTTCTTCCTCTCTTTAGGAGGAGCAGCACTTTTCTAAGTAGAAAAGATTTGATCTAATTTATTTTTCTGATTATAGACTTTGTGTGTAGCATAGTAAAGAGTTGTAGAAGATTAATTTTTATAAGTTATACAGAATACTTCCCAAAACACAAAACAATCATTTTGTTAAGTAAAGCTCTCACAAGATGCTATTCTAAAAGTTAGTTTATTTCAGATTTATGATTTGTGTGAGGTTTTTTCCCTTCTGTTTTATCTCATTTTTCTTTATATTTCTAAAAATATTTGGTATCTTTAAGGCTTTTTAACCTTGGCACCTAGATTATGAATGAGAAATTTTGAAAGTAAAAATAATAGTGCAAATATCACCAGGTGATGAATAAAAGAAATATAGCCAAGTTCTTCAGATAAAATGTCTGAACTACAATTTCTCATCATCTCATTAAAGTAATATTCTAGAAAAGCTTTTCCCTCCCCCTCTTAAAGTCTTTTTGTGTTGCAGATTTAAATTCAGTCTGTAAAAAAATTAGTTTGAAGCTTGTTATCCAGGCTTTAAGTAGAGTTACATTTTCTTCTGTTTTTTTGAGGGGGGAAATAAGCTCTGCTTCAGGTGTGTATATACATGTTTACAATGAACAGAAGACTTTTTTCACTTATTTCAAAGAATAATTAATACCTTCTTTGTAAATATCTGTATTTGGTTTACATTAATTTTAAAAATTCTAACATAAAGAAAATTCTTTTTATTAAGTTTTTAATTTTTAAAATCATTGTTGTAATCAGTATCAAGCTTATAATAGAATTGAATTCAGGTTCTAGGCCTTTGAATCCCAAAATATAGGCACAATGAGATTCTTTTCATAGTTATACTGAGTTACCTACCAGTGCCCAATTAAAGTAATTTTAATAGATTTTTCAAAGCATGAAACAGAATGGAAATGTTTTCTACAGTTTCTCATTGTGAAATAAAGTGACCTTGGAGATGGGTGGAGGGAACAATGACTTCATAATATCTTAATGCCACATTATAACCATGTATTATACACAAATATAGGAACTTTTCTTATTACTAAATTTGCTGAAGCCACCAGAAATTTATCTAGATTCACCTTTAGAGTTCATTTGGTTAAAAAAAAAAGCCATCGTGCAGAGATAGGAAGAGGTATAGGTGTAGGACACATAATAGTGTAATATTGTTAATATCCATATAGGCCCTCAAGTGCCTAAGAAAGACATTTGTCCAAGAAAACTTGAAAGAGAACACTCTGATAATATCTGAAATGGAAAGAACACTTCAAAGTTTTGTTTTGGTTTCTTTTTTGTGAGGCAGTTGGGGTTAAATGACTTACTCAGGGTTACACAGCTAGTAAGTGTTAGGTGTTGGAGGCCAGATTTGAACTCAGGTCCTCCTGACTCCAGGGCCAGTGCTCTATTCACTGAGCCACCTAGCTGCCCTAAACACTTCAAAGTTTACAAAGCCCTTTCCTTACTCTAATCCTGTGAAATAACTACATGTATTGAGGTTCAAACCCAGGTCTTTCCTGGCTCTCCAAATGCAGTATTCTCTACACAAAATAGTAGTGTAGAGCAGAGATAAATGGTATCTCCAATTGAGGATATCAAGTGCAAACAACATTTACCACCTGTTTTATGCTGAGATGAACAAGATGGCCTTTAGAACTCCATTTACATTCATCTGTACTGTTCATTTGTTGAGTGAAAGCTGAAGGTATTTGACTATTTTACAGGATTAGGATGGATTACCATGCTATCATGAGACTCCAACTCCTCCCTAATTTTCTCAGTTATCTTTGGACGTGTGCTGTCCACACCACACAGTACATACCTGTTAGGTCACTGCTGCCATCATTTTCGGTAAAGTTGGAGATTGGTATTAAACCTGGCTGGGAAATTAAATTTGGGCAGAGAGGGTGGTGGTGAATGGGTCTTTATTGTGGGAATGGGGAAATCACAGAATTTAAAATCTCCTATTATAGCCTACAGATTTGCTGTGTACCACTTCCCTTTTTTTCCACACTTCTCTGCATTTTTATACAACACATCTATCTAGGGAACCTGCAAAGGAATATATAAAGAATCTTTTGGCATGGAGATCTGCTGATGTGGCTCCCTCTACTATCCCACATCATAATCTGTTTTGGCTTACTAGATAAACTCTGGGGAGTTGCCTACAGTGCATAAAGGTTAAGATGTTAAAAAAAGGATGTGAACCCAAGTCTTCTGACACCAAAGCGCAACATTCTCTTCACTGTGCCATGTTGCTTTGGTTTTAGGGCATTATGGTATTAATGACAATTAATACATCAACATGCTAAGACAGAATCACGTAAGTATAATTTTAAATTAATTTAGGTTTCAATTACTATTGCCTTGTATTGCCATGTAGCCTATTTATGTAGTCATTTTATAATTAAAAACTAATTGTTACGAGTACCTGCTGTTGCTAGTACTGTGCTAGATATTTTCTCATCTTTGTGAGGAGGAAGCATTTTTTGACATTTAACAGAGGAGGGGGAATTGAAATAGAAGTGGAACCTACATATTAGGGCTATGGAATACTTCTAAAGCATATGCTTTAATATTTTCTCACATTTTATTCACTGTCATGCATCTCTTGTAATATTTTTTGGTAAGTAGTAATAAATTTCAAATTTAAAATGTAAGAAAAACATGTTTGTTTTGACAACGGAAACCTGTTAGTATTTTAAGCTTAATATTTAAAATGTATTTGTCACTTAGACTGCGGGCAGCTTAATGTTAACTTAATTATTATAATTTTTGTGTTCCTTTTAGTTAACTTTATAATTTGTTTTTTGGCTAGATTCTTTTTGAAGGTGAAAATGTGTACCTATGTAATATGTATACTTGGCTTTATAGTTATTTTGTTACTCTGTTGTAAAAATAGGTTAATTCCAATTAGATACCCAGTCATGTGAACTAAAAATTGTATATATGAATTTCTGATTTAATAAAACTAAGTACTTTTGGATAGCGAATTTTAAAGTTCATGAATTTTCAAGAGTTATTCCTATTAGTATTTTTTTTTCCTTATAGGTAAGGATGTAAGGTATATGTGAGAATTTTTCATTGTTATAAAATCTATACTACATACGTAGATATTTATTTGTTTGTGCTCTCCTTTTATAAATACCGGTTGTGTTTTTTTTCTCCTCATAGGTATGCATTCCTCAACAGCAACTGAGCTGTTTGTTACTGGAGCTTTGCCAACCACTGGAACGTTTCCATCAACATCCACTCTTTCCACTTATCAGCATCCCAACACCTTCAGCAATAGAAACTTTGCTACCACCCCACCTCTGACACTTCAAGATTCAACTTTCAGTAGTACTTCAAATGGTATTTTAAATCCTCATGACCCTTTGCTACAAATCAAGACTTCACAGGGTACTATTCCAACCGCTTTGGCATTTGAACGGCTGGGCAGTTCTGTGTTAAGTACCAGTATACCGCCTCAGTCTTCTACATATCGTTCAGCTCAAGAGTCTGCACCCCATCTCTTACAACCTCAGTTTAGCTTGTTGTCTTCACCCCCTTGGAGGAGCCCAGCAAGCTTCTCAAGCCTATAGCTCATCAGTTTTTACTGGTTCTACTACATCCATTGAAAGAGTTCTTCGAGAATGTAGTGTTATTAAACACCATCAGCGGCCTTCAAATGCTCAGTCTCTTCAGGCACAACTGACTAGTTCACAGCATTCCTTACCTAGTTATTTTTCAAATGCCAGTGTAGCTGATTTTCAGGATACAACCAGGCAGCCATCTTTATCTTGTAACCCAATTGGAGATTCTACTCAGGTGAGCAATGGAGGACCACAACAGAAGACCTCTCAGGTCTCAGTGGGAATGGCTCAGTCTTACCCATCTACAGTTCCATCACCCAGCTATCTTCCTACTTCAAAAGGAAAAAACTGTTCTACAAAGCAACCACCAAGGTCACCTAAGACCCCTAAACCTCAAAGTGTGATGCCTCCTGTGCTAAAACAAAGCTATTCCAAATCTTTACACAACCAGAGTTCTGTGATATCAGGCCAAGCACAAATTTATTCTACAGCTCAGCTACCCAGCCTTTTATCAGTTAGCCAGTCCCAAAATTATGCTTCCACGCAGTCACATAATGTGCCATCTATTGTTCATTCACAGGTTTACACGCACAATAAAGCTGAGAAGTTGCCACCCTTGTATAAAACACTGACTTTTTCTGGGCAATCTCAAACAGTAACTTCTGAAAGTCAGACAGTTAGTTACTCCTCTGATCAACAACAGGTTTTATCTTCAATTACAAATGAGAACTACTCTACTCAAACAAGAGATATTTCTTCAGTTAGCCAGTCTCAGAGCTATTCTTCTGGTCACTCTCAGGGTTTATCTACTGTCAGTCAATCACAGGTTAGTTTCTCATCTCAATCACAAGTTTTGTCAGCTGGTAGCCCTTCACAAAACTATACTTCAGGTCAGTCTCTAACATTAACATCATCTTCTCTTCCATTTTCTTCTTCACCTCAAGTTCAAAATTTACCAGCTTCTAGTTCAACCCAGAATTATATTTCTATGCATTCTTCTCAAAGTGCTCAGACCCAAGGATCATCGTCACCACAGTCACATAAATTTTTGCCAACTGCCCAGTCATCTTTTGCATCCCCTGTTCATTCACAAACCTTACAAAATAATAGACCTTCCTCTGAAGCAAAATCTTATGCTGAAAGGAAGCCTGATTCTACTATGTATACATCCTCAAAACAAGAAGATGATTTTCCAGTGCAAGATTTACAAGTGTTACAACAGCCGGCATCTCTTGAATCACCAACCCAAAGGCTTCCTGATGGAGAAATTAATGTTCAAGATCCAGCTTACGGAATTTCAAAGGCAGACGATAGATATCCTCAGAGTGTAATTAGAAGTAATTCTTGCCTTGAAGATCAAGTTGTTGGTGTTAGTCTACAAGAGCAAGAAAAGGAGGAAAGAATGGGCAGCTCTATGACACACCTTACCCAGTCAATTGGGCCAGTGCCTAATGTGTCAAGCCATGATATTAAGAAAGCATCTAATTTAATGCAGACTTCACAAGTAAACACAAATACAAAAGAATTAAACCAGCAACATTCTCTTCTGCCTAAGGTTCATGAAGTACAGGTCCAAGAACAACATAATCAGGCTATTCACCCTTCACCACAGATTCAAATTCAGACTAATGCTTTAAGACAAGTTCATCAGCTACACTTGCCTAATTCACAGGTACTTCTAGAGTCTGGGTATGACTTGCAGATTTTTCAACAGTCAATTTTACAGGCAGGCTTAAGCCAAGCAAAGATATCGACACAGATACAGCCTGTTCAGAGTTCTCAGCAAATAGTACATCCATTCCTTCAAATGGAGGGCCCTATTATTCAAAGCAGTGGTGGACATTCTCAGCAGCAGCTTCATCCTCAAAATTCTGAGGTTATTAAAATGGATCTCTCAGAATCTTCTAAACCATTACAACAACATCTGGCGACAAAAGGCATTTTTAATCAACCAAATCAACATGATTCAAAGAATCAGTATGTTTCCCTTGGTTCCATGTGTTTTCCAGAGTCAATACTCCTCAGTGATGAGAGAAACATTTTATCAAACGATGACATCTTAGCAGCTACTGCTGCTGCTTGTGGGGTTACACCATCTGATTTTGCCAAATCAGCTGCAAGTGAAACACTTCCAACAGTTGAGAATGGTGATGACCCTAAATCCCATTTTCAGCAATCAACAGATATTAGGCATGTGACTCCAGACTTCAACTCTCTGACAGCCATGGTTGGAAAACCAGAGAATCTCAATAACATTTCCTTAAATGGAGGCCAAATTACTATAAATCTTTCATCCATACCTATAATTCATTCAAACAATATGAACCTCGATCAAAAGCATCTTGAAACTTCTGATCAAAATATCACTCCCTCAGCAATTGAGGAGCAGCAGCAATGCTCTGATACAGTGAACAAAACCTCTCATATCACTAATGAATCTGAAGAAGACAATGAAGTCCCCACTGATGGCCTGTTAAACAACAGAGACCAAGAGTTTGTTACTAGTAGTAAAAGTCTAAGTGGAGAAAGTGCCGTTTCAGAGAATGAATTTCATGTGGCTAGTGACAGTAGTGCCACAGGGTCCCAGAATAAAGTCTCACTTCCTCTAATGGTTATGGCACAACCTGGGGATATGATCAGTGTCAAGACTGAAGATGACGACCAAGATATAATACAGTTCAACCTTCAGAAGAAAAAACTTACAGGAAAGGGGCTAATGAAGGAGGATGATAACAATAGTAACCAGAAACAGGTAAAATGGCCCCCACAAAATAAACGTCAGAATTCTTCTCCTAGTTCAGAGTGTTGTCATGATGGTTATCAGCATCAAGAAAAAATGAGACAGAAGATCAGAGAAGTTGAGGAGAAGCAGCCAGAAGTGAAAACAGGATTTATTGCCTCTTTTTTAGACTTTCTGAAATCTGGACCCAAACAGCAGTTTTCAGCCCCTGCTGTACGAATGCCAAATCGGACTAGGCGGCCAGGGACCCAGGTTGTTCGTGCACCTTGCCACACCCAACTCCCAAAGACTTCATCTTCTTCATCTGCAGTGTCTAGAAACTGGGGGCTTTAGTCCTTCTAGAAAAATTGATGAACTCAAGAAAAACTTTGAAGCTTTACCTTCATTTTCTTCTGATGATGAAGATTCTGGAGGATGTAGTAATGATCTCCAGAAGAGCATCTCCACTGTTTTATCTACTTTGGATGATGCTTCTGATAAAAAAAATAAATCAGGTAAAATTTTCCATTGGCAGTCATGATTGTAATTTAGCATTAGCATAATAATTTCTAGAGGTATTATCAGTTCTAAGTTTTTTTTTTATTAAAGTAGGCACAGAGATGGGAATGGGATGGAAAATATTGGTCTGTAGGTGACATGTGTCTTAATTTCAAATGACTTTGTCAGGAAGAAGTGATTACCTTGCTGGAGTGGATGCTACATTGCTATTATCTTCCTTGGGGGTTGGGGTGAGGAGTGGAGAGCGGGGTGGTCATATCTAGCACTTTCTTTCATAGTGGCTTCTGACAAATAATTTAAAAATTGTCTAGAAAAATTGGAAAATTCATTTGAAATACTTTGGGAAAGAACTTTATCCTGTCTTAGGCAAGGCAGTTGAGGTCTGGATTGAAGGAAAGACAAGGAGCTAAGTAAAGGTTAAGGAAGGTATGAATAGATATGCCAGCAGGATTGCCAAGCTCACCAACCAGGATAGCAGCTAAGAGCTTTCCTGGAGACAAGAGTTGACGTCAGATCAGTTGACGTGGTAAATGTGGTCACCAGAGTGTGGGTGGGCACACATGTGTGCATATGTGATCGTACTTACATGTTCATTTGCATAAGACAGACTGAGAGTTGGTTGATATTAGGAGATAGAATAGAAAGCAACTTAAGAGAGAGCTCCAAACAAATCTTATTATAAGAACATGGAGCAGTTGCTACCTCCTTTTTAAAGCAGCTCAAACATTTCCTTAGTCAGGCTTGCCCCTAAAGTCCTTAGACTTTAAGGGATCCCAGGGTTGTGGTAATCTTCATAAAGCAAGCTCTCATTATCTACTTAGTCATCTTATCTATTCCATTCCTATCAGATGGCAGGATTTCTTCTGTAAGATTTGACTGTTCTGCTGTGGTTTTGAAGATGCTTCTCACCCCCGTTTCCCAGGTGTTAGAAGATTCTGACCACCAGATGAAATGGAACATTGGCAATTTCAGTGGGATTTTTTTTGTTTATTTTTAAGTGGTGTTCTAAGAGTCAAACTCTGTGGTACATAGTTTCATTTCTCTGGATTTGAAACAATCTTTAATTTACAAAAGTGATGCCAAATAACTGATGTTCTAAAACTCTTTGGACAAAGTTTGATAAGTTTATATTTAAATATGTAAATATGTATCCTTGTGTAAGGACTCTCTTCTCAAGAGTTGTTCTCTGATGTCTCACTATGGCATAGAGAGAATCCTGGGTTATCAAAGGCTGTATAGGCAAAGTACATGCTCTGGTAGGTCCCACCAAGTTGGAAAGCATGAAATTGTATGTTACCCAAGGACTGACCTAACGTAATTCAGAGAGATTTACCACCATGTTGGCTACATGCATCCTGCATGTATTTTTCAACCATTTCATATCATTGGGGGGGGGAGTTTAACTTTATTGATGTATTTTGTTTTAAGATCACCTTTATCTCTCAACGTGCCCCTTGTTCCTTCCGCTCCCAGAGTTATCCTTTTTTTTTTTTTAAGAATAAAAGTGAGAGGAAAGAAAAAAAAAAGTCATCAAAACTAACAGCATATAACTAAGTCTGACAGTATGTCATTCCACATCTGTACTCTTCTTCTGAATCACACTTAGGCATTACAATTACATAATGTTAAATTTCAGGTTTTTTTGTTCTTTGAGTTATCTATGTTGTTTTCCTGGTTCCATAGATGTCTCTTTTATCTGTTCCTGTGTCTTCTTTGTATTCTCCACATACGTTGTTTCTTGAAGTGCAGTAATATGCCATTACATTCCTATATCACAGTTTGTTTAGCTATTCTACAATCATTGAGTACTGGTTTTGTTGGCTGTGTTTTGCTATTACAAAAAGTGAGGCTGTAGACAGACTTTGGTGTGTGGGGGATCTGCCTTTGATATCTTCGGGTGTTTGCCCAGCACTGGGTTCTCTGGGTCAGAAAAGCCATGACCATTCTAAAGACCATCTACAAGGCAGTGGAGGTTTTGGATGACAATTCAGGGAGTACTTTGAGGAAAAGGAAGCAGCACTGCTGTGTATTGACTCTCAGCTGCAAAATTCCCCCAAAACTCCCAAGTGCAAATCATATTAAAATGTAATTGGGAAACATTTAACAAAATAAATAAAAATGCAGTATAACTTAGATAATGTTTTTTAAGTCAGTTTGCTGCATGGGATCCATTTCGATTTGAGTCTGACACCACTGCAGTACACAATAATGGTCTAAAGAAGTAGTAGGGGTTAGTGGAAAGGGTAGTGTGACTAGAGTCAAAGGCCCAGGGTTTAAATTACATCTCTCATACTTGGTAATTAAATGACTTTGGGCAAATCACATCCATGAACCTCGTTCCTTCTATAAAATTAAGAGGTTGGATTAGATGGCTTATGAGGTCCCTTACAGGTCTAGATTTCTGATCTTATAATTATGGAAATTTTAATAAAAATCACTAAATTCTTCACATATCCAGCTTTCTTTTCATATTTGGGGAGGGAACTATACTAATAAAGTGTGAAAAAGTGAGTACGAACTCTTGTTTTTAAAATTTGATTGTTTTTGGTTTTCTATCAGTCGTTGCTATATATACACCCCTCTCCTTGGTGAGTCTTTCTTTTAGCCAAAGGGGGAAAGAAGTTAAGCAGGAGGGTGTTTGTACTTCTTAAAAACAGAATTTCTAAAGATGATTCTTTGATATTTTTAGTGTAGAATTAATGGAACAGTTGTTTGTGCCTAATTGAATTCCTGAGATGGGATATGAAAAACACAGGTTTGAAATTATAGTTTCAAGGTGTTTTAAGTAATCTTGTGAAGTCTATAATCTCAACAAGGAATGATTATAATGAAAAGAACTGAGAAGAAAAGAGTATACAACGAGGAGAATAGCTAGATTTTCCCTTCTTTAGGTTCTTCTTCCTGGGATTCTGATTAGGGGTAGAGGTAAAGTAGGCAACCACTTAGGACAGAATACATAAGGAGAATACAGTAAGAGTATAAAAACATTTGGAATGCCAGAAAATTCTTTTTTGACCCTGAATCACGCAGGTGGTTATTCTGTGGTGGTATTTATTGGCCAGAACAAAAGAATCAAAGCCTCTGCTGCAGGATCTCCAGACTGGGGACTGTGCACTTGAGAGCTCACAACAGTTGGTGGGAATGTATGAAGAATGTAAGTGCCTGCAGCCTCCCTGTTCTTGCTCAGATGGTTTCAGCCAGAGGCCCTTTTACTTGAGTGGATGTTATAGCGGTTCAGCTGGGCTCCAGCAGTGGCACCGTGGACAGACTTGGCAGTGGTCCTCAGCAGTCAGACAGATGTGGCACATCAAGACTGTCAGGGCAGCCTCACATTTCTTCTGTTCCTCTCCATCGGTTTTGAAAAATTTTGGTTGGTGGTGATGGTGATGATGGGAACAGATGAAAGCTCAGCAGCAGCAGCAGTAGCCAAGGAGAGGTGGGTTGGGAAGGTGAGTGGTAGGTGATACATCAATCGGCAAACATTTGTAAAGTGCTTATTATGTCCTGGGCAGTGTGCTAGTCTCTGGGAATGCTAAGATACAGTCTAGCTGGAGGAAACAATGATAGGGAATAGGGGGTGCCATTAGTAGCTGAGCAAATCTTGAAGGGTTCCTTAGAGAAGGCAGCACCGGAGCTGAGTCTTAAAGGAGGTACTTAGAAGGTAAAAAAAATTTTATTTATAGGTATACACAATCAAAAACATTTGGAAATGATTGTTTTAGGGGGTGATACACACTGGAAAGTTTGTAAAGCCTACGTAAGGCACACAAATGCCTTGTCCTAAGTCTCTTTGGAATATCATACAATGCAAAAAAATTATTAGATTGTAATCTCTTTTGCAGATATATTCTTTGTTTTTTTCCTCAGTACATTGCACAGCATGCATTGCTTATAGTGTGTCTAAATGAATGGTTAGTGTCGGTCTTTCTCCTGAAAGGTCTGCATATCACTGAAGAGGTCCTATTTGGCTCATAGGTGAAGGGCCTCTCGTCCTGAATTTTAGTCAATAAATCTCTTATTCCGTGATTCAAAAGCCAAGAACAGGAATGTCTTGTTTGTGGCACAGCCAGGAGGCCACTGTCACTGGATCAAAGAGCGCTCGCCGGGGAGTAAGATGTAAGAAGACTGGAAAAGTAGGAGAAGTGGGATTATGAAGGGCTTTGAATGCCCAGCTGCACATTGTATTTGATTCTAGAGACAGAGGGGAGCCACTGGAGTTTATTGAGTAGGGGAGGGGTATGATCAGACCAGCAGACTTTATATTAGTCCAGGTGAGAAGTGATAAGGGCCTGTACCAGACTGTTGCCAGTATTGGGGAGAGAAGAGGGTCTTATTTGAGAAATCTTACAAAGGCAGAATTCACAGGCCTTGGTAACAAAATGGATATGGTTGGGGGTAGGTGAGAGATAGTAAGGTGTCCAGGAAGACTCTATATGGAGAACCCCTGAGGGACTGGGAGGATGAAGTTGCCCTGTACAGTAATGGCAGTGGTTGAAGTTGGGGAGGGCTCAGGGGAGAAAGATAATGAATTCTGTTTTGAACATGGTAAGTTCAAGAGGTCTCCTGGACATCCAATTCAAGATGTATGAAAGGGAGATGGAAACTGAAGGTCAGTAAAGAGGCTGGGGCTGAGTAGGTAGATTTGAAAGCATATAAGGTCACACAGGTAATATTTGGCACAGCAGAGATTCAAATCTAAATCTTTTTACTCCAGATCTAGTGTTTTTTCTACTGCTCAGGAGTACACATTCTTTAAATACTTATGCATTCTTTACATAGGCAGTGTACTTATAAAGATGAGTCTACTGTGGAATATCACTAGTGAAAGCCTTCCAACTTCCCTCTCGTCAAGGATAGCTTTTATGTATGAGTACATTACCCTCAAAAAATTATGTGTAGATGAGAAAGTAAGCATATGAGTTGGTAGTTATTCCTCCTTGGAATCTACTTCTTACTTCCAGGACTTTTTCCCTTACCATAACAGTGTTCTTACCCT